TTTGCACTTTGGACTTCATAAAATTGTTGCCAAATTTAACTTCTATGTAAATATAAGGACACACCCATTATCAATGACAATAATGACATTTTAGTCTATTTTTAACAATGTCAGAAGTTAGCTTCTTAGAAAAAAGTGACACGAGGTCACATATTGAAGTAAAACATTGACATTTATGTTTTGACGGAGGTTGTTGTATGTGCATCACATTGAGACAACAATTTCAATCATTTNCAAATAAAATGTTATATTATCTCACCTTTTAATTTTAAATAAGGTTTGAATTTATATTCATATTTAAATTTTCATAAAACACACATTTATATATCTCTTTAATTGATCCAAAAGCATACAATTGGGATAGGCTGCGACATTTTTGAAAAAAAAAAAAAAATTGACATAGAATGTTACTTTCCTCATTCTCATATTTATATATACATTTTCGCAAACACCTTGTATGTATTACCTGAATTGATCCAAAATTGATTTTTCATATATATTAACTGGGTCCAATTCATAAAAATCTGAATTTTAATATATACTAACTCAAAATTATTAATCTAAAGATAAAATTTCATATATACTAGAAAAAAAAATCCCTCAACAAAGTCAAAATCAAACAAAATATGAACTGATTGAATCAAAAATCATAAACATATGAACATGTTGAGTTGGGAATAAAAGGTAGTTGAAGCAACCATTGACCTTGTTCGTAGTTGATTTATGCAAAATTTCCTCTTATGATTTCGATTTTGCTTGGTGAGAGTGCAAGATTTCTGCTTTGTTCACAGTATTTCTTACGATTTAATTGGGATGAATTGTGTTATGTTTTACTCCATGTTTATAATATTCAGAAGTACTCCAAAATTAAAGATATTTTGTAGGTACCCCAAAACAATATACATCCGTTGAGGCCTATCGAATTAGAAGAATTCTTCGATTGTCGATGCTTATACAAGCAGAGAAGTCAAGGACTAATATTTGACCAAAAACATGATTAGAGGCATCGGCTATAGACATAATTAGAGGTATTGGATAGCCTCCGGACATGGACAGTAACATCAATGCGGACTCTAACAAATCAACCTAAATATTTGGACAAGTGTTCGAAAGCATGAACATCCATAATCTTTGAAAATAGAACTTAATTATATATTCCAACATAATGGTGAGAAATATTAACTCACGAAAATGACTAAAATGACCTTATAAATTGCCTATAAATAGAAAATTGCACAATAAAGTAAAGGATCCAAATTATATCTCGAAAATAACCTATAAATAGAACTTAATCATGACTTCCAATATAATGATGAGGAATCTAAACTCACGAAAATGACTAAAATGTCCTCATAAATCACATAAATAGACCATTGCACAATAAAATAAATTATCTGAATTCTATTCTAAAAACCTAGAGATTGAAATAAAATTTCTCATAAATTTCTAGCTAAAAGAACGTCGAAATCTCAATCTCTCTCTCATCACTTCGAAAACACACAAGAATTTTCAACGAGCCAAGAAACATCGCTGAAATTGAGGGAGAAAAATAATGTCGTTGACTTTATAAAAGACTGTTTTTAGGTCCAGTTTGTCACCGACTATGAAAATTCTTCCCAAAATCATGAAAGAAAAACACGAGAAAAAAGAAATGCCTAGAAATGTCCAAACATAGTAAGAATTAACTGACTAAAGCTCTTCCTTGATTCTATAGGGGATTTAGAACAAAAGTGACTGGTGGCTATGTGATTTCTTTTGGGCACAATCATCCCAGGTAATTCGGTCTTATGGTTCTTCATGTCTGCATACGACATTTTTTCTTAGGTGGTCATTTTTGTGAGTGAAAGCAAATCAAGCAGAATGAGAACCAGAGGAGAAACTGACATGACAGCCTTGCTATCTCAGCAAAAAGGAATACTAGGAGAAGAAGAAATCGGAGGTCATCGAGAAGACTGGTCACGTTAACTCTAATAGCTGACATGTCTACCCACTTGCAACATGTTGATGACGAGAATGTTGCTATGAGGTAGTTCTTAATGCAACGTGGACATGTGATACTGCCTCCTCGAGAGCATGGAGGTGCGAGTAGAGCCGATGGCTCATTGCAAAGCCAGTATGTGCTGTTGGATAATTTCAACATATATGGTGTCACATGTTGCATATTGAAATGTGTGGTGCTATTATTTAAAGAATATCAGTCAATTAAAGTGATCAGATAAAGATGTATTGTGACAAATGGGTATTAGAATTCGTGGAATTATAGTGTAGAGATCGGAGTGTTGTTTTAAATTGATGAGGGGTCGATTTGAAACAACTGAAAGATAGTGACTATTGAGTTACCACTTTTATTTTATATGGTTCTGATCCCAATTTGTTGGTGTTCTTCAAGTTTCTTTACATCCCCATCAATAGAGAGTAAAAAGTTGAAGGGAAGATCACCAATCATTTGGAAGATCCTAACATATCTAGGCAAAGAATCAGATTATCATGGATCAACGTATGTTTTTATGTTTTTTTATTTTTTCGGATTTCAACATGGAGATGCATCTATGGTTTATTATTGAGAATTAAGTATTTGATTATTGTTTTGATCGATAATCCTATATACAAAAAGATAGTTCACCATAGCCTCGGTGAGGTATTAACTTTAACCACTCTTTAACTTCAAAATTTAAGACTTAAAAATACCTAAGAAACTAAAAGTACGTTTCAATACTATAATATCGTATAATACAATATATAGATCTAAAAACCATACAATAAAATACATTAATTGTACTAAAATACTATTACAAGTTTCAAAAGAAGTTTTAACGGATTTTTGGATTAAAGTTATTTTAAGATCTGATTTTAAAAAAAAAGTTTCAATTTTTTTTTGTGTGGCAGTCGCCGCCGCTGATGTTTGCAGCAGCATGGCTGTCGCTGTGTTACAGCAACAGTTCGCTGCTGGCGGGCAGCAGCCCCATTTTTTTGGGGAGATGGAGGGGCTTTTTCCCCATTAAAGTTTTCAGTTATGGCTATTAAAAATTTTCAGTTTTTGAAATTTTTGGGGACGGGGGGCTTCGGTTGCAAATTTGAAGTTTTGGGACACTTTCTTACAATTAAAAATTAGGGTTATGGTTGAATTATTTATTATTCAGCCCCTAAATTTTAACGTTAATCCTAATTGGTCCTTAAGGTAATGTGTTTTAATAATTCAGCCCCTAAAGTTCTAAAATTAATTAATTTGAGCCATTTAAGTTCTGAATTTAATAATTAAGCCCCTGAATGTTCATAATTGGTTTAGTTTGGCACCTAAAGTTTAGCATAATTTATTTTTTGACTCCTAAACTTTTCAATTATTAACAATTACCCCCTAAAAGTTTGGAATTAATGAATTTTGACCCATCAAGTTTTGAATTATTAACCCTTAGACCCTTAGAGT